ACTAAAAAAAATTAACACAGTCAAGCGCCAAATGAGAGTAAAAATCAGCGTTGGCGAGTCCATGTAACAATGTCAGTCGCCAGTTGGTGGGTACAACTTTTACGAATTATAACAATGCAATGAAGTGAAAACAACAGCCAGTTTTTAAAAAGATTCACTGTTTCTGACATAAGCGAATAAAATAATCTTTTCCGAAGACAAGATCATCGTGATTAGCTGTTCTGTCATAAGCGACAAGAGCGAATCAAATAATAGGATACAAACAGACTGATAAGGTCAGAGCAGTGTGATGGCCAGCTTGTCCCTAGACACGGTTCTAATAACTTTTACCTGAGATTTTGCTGCTTCATTTCGGAAGATTAACTTTTCCCTTCTTTATTCTTCATAACCCGAGAATGCGGCGACACATACCTGGGGTTACGCCGTAGACACAGTGCAGTGAAGTAGGCTATAGTTTGAAAGGCTGCACATTCGGCTATACACATACGCTGAGCCGCTTCAGACAGCTCACCGGTAGTGAAAGTGGCATGGCCAAGTATGGTGACCCATACTCGGAATTAGTGCTCTGCATTTACCCATCCAAAGTGCACACACACAGCAGTGAACACACACACCGTGAACACACACCCGGAGCAGTGGGCAGCCATTTATGCTGCGGCGCCCGGGGAGCAGTTGGGGGTTCGGTACCTTGCTCAAGGGCACCTTAGTCATGGTATTGAAGGTGGAGAGAGCGCTGTACATTCACTCCACCTACAATCCCTGCCGGTGCGAGACTCGAACCCACAACCTTTGGGCTATGAGTCCGACTCTCTAACCATTAGGCCACGACTTCCCCACAGCGCTTCAACACACGAAAACACACACAATTATGTCCAAATGCGAGGTTTTGGCGAATTACCTTGTAAACGTAGTCTTAAATGACTGTAAAGAGTTGGGAGAAAATCGGATACGTGTCGGATCCGCGTCATATGCATCAGGTTTTAAAGAGACGGCGCTGATTTTTTTTTAACCTACTGAAGTCTGATTGATGTAAATCAAAGAACAAAAGAAAAAGAGAAATCCTTGGACTGTTCTATTTGCTGATTAACTTTTATAGCTTGAATAAAGATTAATATGTATAGTTTATGCATATATAATATAGTTTATGTGAAGATTGTTTTAAAATCACTTAAATGTTAAAAATAATGGCTTTCAATTATACTGTAATGTTGAATGGCTATAATTAATAGGTAAAATTGAGGGGAAATGCACCAGCAATAAAATTATTGTAAATATGTTTAGTCATTGTAGTAGTAGTAACAGCCTGTTTTTTCAAAAAGAGTTTCATGGCCGGTAAAAAACCTTTTTGGCCGGTAAATTTGATCATGTCACTGGCCATTGGCAGGTGTGGCAAAAAGTTAGTT